CCCCCCCCCCCTAATTCTCATTCAATTTCTTTTTTTCTAATCTTCCAGCAGCTCCCGGAGAGATTGGACTATCACGCGCGGAGTTCTAGCGCGTTAAATTGATTGTGTCTCGTCTTGTGTGTCGTCCTTCATCTGCTGCTGAAGCAATAAAATCACCGCCCCACCACACACACGCACGCACACACACACAAACACACACACACACACACAGGAGGAGAAGGGAGGGTGGGTGTGCTGCTGCACCACCAGAGGAAACTGAGCAGATATTCTTGGCGCTCTGCAGATAATAGCCCACTGAATGAATTTGTCGAGTGGTTGCAACATGCGGGAGCGCGCGCGACTCATGCATCATTTTGTGTGACCGCGTATCGTGTATTTATTTATGCGCGGGGTGGGGGTGGGGGTGAGGGGGCTCTCCTGTAATTTAGATGTTTGTATATCCTTACAATTGGTGGTTTGTGATTGGTTGCTGGGTTAATTTACCTCCGTCGATGTGTGTGTCCTCCCCCCTCCCTCCCCCCATTTTAATGTCCTCTCTCCAAGGCGGGACGGATGTGAGGTGGATCTGATGCTGTTCCTGTTTGTTAAATGTTCGAAGTGTTTCAGCCTGGGCTGGGTCCAATCAGTGTGTGTGTGTGTGTGTGTGTGTGTGTGTGTGTGTGTGTGTATGTGTGAATTATTTCTGTATGCTGTGACACTGATTAGGATGAAAGGTAAAAGGAGGAGATGAAAAGAAACAGTCCGCTCTGTTCCATTCCTCTCCTGCTCTCCTGACACTGATTAAACCACAACCAGGAGGCTGTGCGCGCGCTGGCCATACATCCAACAGAATTATGGGTAATGTAGCAGCTTAACATGGCCTCAAGTTTATACATGAAACAAACAGCAAAGAATAAAAATGATAAACACTCAACTTAAATCTTCTTGCCAGTACAGTGCAAGTAAAAGCTAACAATACTACGTTTAAATAAATGTGTAAATAAAATGTTTCTAACCTAAATTTATGTTGATGTAAATTTTTTCGTTCGTAAGTTGGTAAATTTAATGTTTATACACACACGCATATATATATA